GAGGCAGAAACAGTCAGATCATTATGGGCAGCTTAAACATTGTTAAGTTTTATACAGGAGACTCCCACAAATCCCTGGGCCACTCTGTGGATTCAGGGAAGCACAGCTGGAGGTGAGGAGCCCCAGGCATAAGGCATCTAAGGGAGCTTTAGCAAAAGCAAAGGTCTAGGAATTTAAACTGGTGTAGCACAATCATTTTGGAGACTGCAAGGCACAATTTCTTCCCGAGCTGATTTTTTTTTTATGCGCACAAATTCACTTCATGATCAGAGGCAATGGAGAGAGTAAGGTGCATTTTTAAATAAGTGGCCTCCAGGGGTGGAGTACCCTGACATAAAACGATTCCTGTTCTCTATTTCTTTCCACATCTGTTACCCCCAACAGCTAAACTGAAATGCTCTGTACCTTGGTCTTACCCCTAGTGATGCCTAAAGGGCACATGAAGCACATGCAAAGAATACAGTGGGATGGATGGTTCCTCTGGAGGTCACCTGGCACGACTCGGCTCTCACAGAAGAGCCTACAGACACTCAAAACAACATGAACTGGCCTCAGAAGACCTGTCAAAAACAAGCCTCACCTCCAGATGACCTGAGTTTTAAAAGTGGCTGTGGCAGATGCTGGACCCATTTCTAATTGGCCTTGTCTTTTATGCAAATGTGCTTTCAAGAGCTACATGTTTTTATTATCTGTTGTCGATGGGCATGAGGTTTTGAAAATCTCAGCCTGACTTTACACTCCTTTTTTCAGGGAGAACCTTTCATCATTTGCTTTAATGGGGAATCCTCCCCTCCCAGTCTGGCCCGGTCTTTGTGCTGAGCTTTGGCTACTTGGCAGTGCTTGGCCCAGCTCTGCGGTCCACGGCTTGCTGCGGGGTGACAGGATCAGGGGAACAAAAAGCAAAGGTTAGGCAGGGTCTTAGCTTCTCCTTAGCCCAGACTGGCTTGGAGAGTGGTGATCCTTTGGCTGGCTGTGGCACATTTGGCTCCCTCCCAACTCCAGCTGTCATGCTGGGGGTGGCATCTCTGAGGGGACCCCTGGTCAGCAGCAGCTTTTTGTGGAGTAGCTCCTTGGGCAAAGGGAGCCGAGTGTCCCACAGTACTTGGGGCAATGAGGACAGCCCTGTCCAAGCTTTTGTTCCTTGTTAATTCTACTGCTCTGGATTTGTGTGCTGCAACCCTGCCACTGGCGCTTGGCCGGGGTGCTGATGCCTGGGAGAAATATCTGTGTAAATGTGATTATGAGGGAGTGAGCGCCTGTGCGTCTCTGGCAGCCCAACCACGCCAATCCCACTCTATTTCCAGGGCAAAGATGGCAGTGGGGAAAAAAATCCCAGCTTTCTGGAGCTGCATGCAGCGCTGTGTGTCCCTGGCCCTGGGAGAAGAGTAGGAAAGTCTGTGTCACCACAAAGCTGCGGCCCAAAGCTTGCCTTTTCCACGCCTGGCGTTGTGTGTGCTCTTTGACTTGTTGTCACCGTCACCCGGGCTGCGCTGCTTTCTGGCAAGGAGAGGAACAAGAGCAGGCAATGTTTAACAGAGGACAGTGTCTGGCCATGGAAAAGCTGTGCAACATGACTCATTTTGTGTAAAGGACATGAAATTACAACTGTGTGCCACATGAGAGATGCTAGCTGGGCTCGAATCAAAAAGCATCCTCATCCAGGAAGGGTATTCAAGCATGTGCTTAATTTAAGAACATACTTAATCAGGGCCTTTGGGCATAAAAGGGTAGTGATTATTCTTGTGTTGCTGGGAAAATCCAAGTGACATCCGGAAGATGTATTACTCGGGAAAATTTAGTTTTATTTCAGTGTCCTCATTTAATCTTTCAATTTCCAAAAATGTAATTCTTTTAATTTGTCATTGCTATGAGTTCCTTCACAGCTGTTTTACACTCGATTGTTAATGCCAAGTGGAATCAGCAAACACAATCTGGTTCAGATAATAAGTACGGAAGATCAATCCTGCATCCGTCTTTTTTCTCCGTCCCCATTAAACTTCCCAGCATGTAAGATATCTGAGTTTGGCTTTGCAGGGACAGCTAGCCATGGCAAAAGAACCCCTGGTACACACTGTTTAATCATTTAAAATCAGCAATGTCCCTGCCCAGTACTTTTTCAATGCATTTGACTCCCAATTTTCTCTCTAAATAGCCATGTATTGCTGCAGAGATTAGAAATGCTGGGATTCTAAGATGGATATGCCTTAAAGTGTGCAAGGAGCCAAGGAGAGGCTCCTTGTTTCAGAGTGGGTAGGGTAGATGGCAATTAATGTCTTTGTTTTCCTTGGAAAAACCATGTGGAATAGCTACTCCAGACCCAGCAGCTGGGAGAAGGCAACTCTGCTCTACGTTGACCACATTTCACAGTTTCATACCCAAACCCTTCTGCCACTGCACAGAAGATGTCCCCTGAGCTGGCCTAGAATTCTCCTGCCCTAAGGACTCTGGGCACCAGCTGGAATTTTCAAAAGGACTGCAGGAATATGGGACCCAAGTGGACATCCCACCTATACCCTGTAGGAGATATTCTGCCTGCTGTCCTTGAGCATGGCCTCATTTTTTAGTTCCTTGCTGTACAGCAAAGATATTTAGGCACCTGTTTTACCAGAGATTCTCTGACCCAGAGATAAATAAGGGTTGTTATTGGCCATAAGAAAAGTTCTTGTTAATTTTATTGACCTTGGGTTAAATCCTGTTCATCCTCCTCAGGCAATTGCTCCCACTGAAACCAATATGAATGTCAGCACGAGTAAAGAAATTGGATTTTGGCCCCTTTGAGAAGACAGCAATCATAAATCTAGCCGCCAGCACAAATCCAGGCACTAAACCAGGGATTTTCCTGAGGGAAAAACCACAGTAAAAATCCATGGGATAGAACCAGGGAAATGGATGGGCATAAAGGAAAAGAAAATTCTAACTTCATTTCATTCTAATTATTATTAGGGTAGATGTTCAACCGGGCATCATTTAAACATGCCTTCAGCTTTGCCACTGCTTCCTGGTCTGACCTTGGTGATGATCCTTGAACACCCTGTCCTTCTCAAAGCTGTGGTTAAATATAATTGTGTGTGGCTTTGAGAGGCAAGATACACCAGTGAGTGCAACTTATTTTAAGGATATTTTAGAAAGTGAATGATAGTGACTAAACATCTTGGTGGGAAACTGTGAAAACATGGTACTCTACACAACATGACTAGAGGAGAAGAATTTTTTTTTCTATTTTTTCTCACCTCTTGTTTATTTTCCTCTTCCTTTTTTGAACAATGTATCTTAATCTCACTCTATGGATGTAGCACGAGAGTTATGTGTGCAGAAAGCATCTGAAACCACTTTGTTTCTAGTTTTCTTTCATCCGTTCAGTATTATAAATAACCAAAGAGGATATTGCTTAATCCATAAAACAAAGTGACATCATAATTTATTAATACAGAGGACACAGTTCATTGCTGTTAAATGCCATAAAGAGCTGGAAATAGAGTAGTTTCTCAGAAGGCACTGCCAGTGTGTCAGAGGAAATATTTCCTCGATGCTATATCAGCATGTGTAAGATCCTCTCTGAGTGCCTCACCATTTTGGCCAGTCCCAGATGAGCTGCTCTGCCACATCCAAAGGCAATTTTGCAATTTTGGTGGGGACATCTCCAGTCTCTGATGTCTTCTTTCTGTCTGCTTTCCACCTGCCCCGCTCCTCCCAGCGCTTTGCTCCTGCTGTCTGCTTCTATGGGAAAGGAAAAAACTGCAACAGCTCCATGGTGGGGACAGAACTGGCTGGTCCACTTAAGGTTCTCTCATTGGTGTCCGTGGGGAAGCAGCAGCACAAGCTCACGTGTCCCCAGGGTGTCCCTGTGCCAGCAGGGACACGGAGCTGCACGCATGGAGGAGCAATATCGTACATCGGGCTGTACACGCTCGGCCCCGGGCCAGCAAAGCAGTCAAGCACCTGTTTACCCCTAAGCTTTTGAGTAATTCCTCTGGCCTGAGCTAAGCACAAGCTTCCCACAGCCTCCCTGCTTCTCTTGGTCTTCCCTTGCAGGACCTGTGCATCATGGCCTGGCTGAACTCAGGGCTGCCGGCACAGCCCCAGCACAGCATCACTCAGCACCCTCCTCTTCTTGCTCCCTCCTCTTCACAGAGACAGAATTCAGCCTCTGCACACCCCAGTCCCCCTCCATGGGCAAGCCCCTCCAGTGTCTGAGAGGCTCTGCCAGGGTTCCCCAGTGCTGGATTCAGACAGAGAGCAACTTTTGAGTATTTCAGGAGAAATTCCACCACTTCTGTTGCCGTGCTGTCTCCAAGCAGCAGCCTGAGCCCACATATGGACGAAGTGCAGTGACCACATGCCCACAATAAGACATCCCTCTCTCTTTTAGGTAACATAAACAATCTTCTGGTATGGATAACTTGCAGCCCTGGAAACACACTCTGCAGATGTTCACTCCATGCTCTATCGCTGCCGGCCCAGAAGCACCAGTCCTCACTGCTGGTCTCTGTCTGTCTCATCATAAAACACAACTAGCCGTGTTTCTGCAACTTTTGGGAAGAGACAGGATCCCTTTTGGCTCCCCGGGACATTAACTTGCACTTCAACTTGTATTAATTTCGTGCTTTCCATACGTGCAATCAGCTCCCTGCCACGGGCACCTATTTAAAGTTCTTCAGGGGGTGTGTGGAATGGGCACGGTGCTGCGGGTGCCCCCGGCCGGCTCTGCCTGCCGGCAGCCCCCAGGGGAGCCGCGGTGCCCCGAGCTCCCCGCGCAGGCACCGGAGCGTTCCCGGCTCCCCGGCGAGGCAGATTTCCCTGCTGTTCACGGCCGGTCGTGCGGAGTTCCT